GGAGCTCGTGGACAAGGTGAGGCTGGTCGGGCTTGCGGCCGGGGCTTACGTGCACGCGTGCGTGCGCGCGGACAGGTAGAACAGGTCACCCACTCTCCCCGACCCCCTACCCCTCCAGGCGCCCCGAGGACCTCTTGACCTCGCCCGGCGGCGCCGTGGGCGCGCCCGAAGCCCCGTGACGCGCCGAACGCTTCGCCCGCGAAGTGCTTCGCAAGTGACGCGGGCTTCGGCCGGCCCGGGGCCCCGGTCGGGGGCCAGGCGCTCCCCGCGGGGCTCGGGTCGCCCCCCCCGCCCCACGCCTGGCCGGCCTCCTCTCGTTCCGCATGTTCGTTCGCCCACTGCCCCCTCGCCGACCGCGCTCCCGCCCGAATCCTCGACCTGCATCGCCTGCTCTTCCCCCCCGCCCTTGTCCGCTCCCGCCCTTGTCCGCTCCCGCCCTTCCCCCGTTCTCCCACTCGCAGCTCGTCGCGCGTCTGCCCCGTCGCCGCCGCGATGGTGTCGTTCCCCCCTTAAATTCTAACGCAGTGCCCGGGCTCAGGCCAGACTCGGTGCAGCACCGACGCCCGCGACCGCAGCAGTAGCGCAGCGGCGATGGCGCGCCAGCCGGAGACCCGTTCCCGCACGCCGAGGGCGCCCAGCGAGAGCCGGGACCGCCGCCGCAGGGACCGACGCCGCAGCGGCAGCCGCGATCGGCGCCGCCCGCGCTCCGTGGGCCGCCGCCGCGGCCCCTCGCCGAGCCGCGAGGGCCGCCGTGCCGCCTCTCACGGCGGGGGGGCGGCGCACCTGGCGAAGGCCCCGGCCAGCCTTGGTCCCCGTCAATCTGGCCGTGAGGAGTTCGACGGCGCGACGCGCAAGGCGTCGGGGGGTGCGCCGAAGGCAGGCGCCCCGCAGGCGGCGCCAGTCCCATTGGCCATGCCCTGGGCGGCGGGGCCGTCGCCGCCGCCGGCGGAGTGGCCGACGCCGTTCGGCCCGATGGCGATGGCGTTGGCCGCGGGACAGCTGGCCGGGGCGGGAATGCCATGGGCGGCCGGCCTCATGGGGCCCCCCGGGCGCGCGTGGGGCAATCCTCTGCGCGGCGCGGCAGGATGGGCGGGCGCGACGCCGCCGCCATCGGGGCCGCCGAAGGGCGGGGTGGCGCCCCCCGTCGCCGCGGCCATGGCCGCGCGCGCCCCCGCGCCAGTCCCGAAGCCGACCGCGCCGTTGACGACGCCGCCGTCGCCCCCGGCCGTTGGCGCGGGCGGCGCCCCTCCACCCGGGCATTTGGTCGAGGGCCCGCCGGGAGCAGTGGTGGCCCCGGGCGCGCGCGCCCCCATGTGCCCGCCGCCGGGGGCCCCCGTGGGCAGCGCGGTGCGCTGGGCGGGGGCGCCGCAAACGCCGCCCGCGGCGCCCCTGGCGCCGGCCGCGCCCGCCGCGACGCCGGGCGGCGCCGCGCAGCACGGGGCGGCGGCCGCCGACGCGGCAGACCGCGCCGGGGCACCGCCGCCCGCCACGCAGCCGCCCCCCGGTCACCGCGCGGCGGGCGGCTCGCAGCTGCCGCTGGCGTTGCGCCCGCCCCCAGGCTGGGCGGGGCCGGCGGCCGCCCCCGAGGAGGATTTGTGCGGAGGTGCTGTGGTCGCGCGGGAGGCGGCACCTGCCGCCGCCGCCGCCCGGGGCGGGGCGGGCGCGCCGGCGGCGGCCCCCGCCGCGACGGGCGACGCGGAGCCTGACGACGACGGCGTGGAAGAGCTCGTCGCGGCCGTCCGCGCTGACATCGAGCTGATCGAGATCGCGGGCTACACGCTGCAGCAGGCCCTGGACAGGTTCCTGACCACGCTGACTGGGGCGCCCCTGGCCCCCCCCGAGGCCGGCCACCCCCCGGCTGGTGCGCCCGGGGGCGCGCCCGCGGCGGCTCCGGCGGAGGCTGCGGAGGATGCGCGCGCCATGGCCCGCGACCTGGTCACGCGGCTGTCCAGCGCGGCGGCGGGCGTCAAACCGGCCATCCCGGGCTCGTCGGTGAGCTTCGACGTGCAGTTCAAGCTCGCCGTCCCGGACGCGAGAACGGTGGCGGAGAGGCTGCGGGACTTCCACGGGCCCGCCGGGCCGCCCATCCCGGTGCAGATCCTCGAGGAGGAGGCGGGCCGCCCCTGGCGCCGCCAGGCGGCATCCGCCTGGAGCGCGGAGAAGGGCGGGGACAGCCGCCTCCTGGTTTTGCGCCTCCGCATCCCGTGCCGGTCTTCGCTGAAGAAGAACACGGGGGCTTCCGTGCAGTGGTCGCCGACCACGAACCAGGTCGTCGTGAAGGCCGTCAAGCTCAACATCACCGAGTACGCCGCGCGCTGTGTGGCAGCGTTCGGGCCCGTGAACCAGGTGAGCCCGTCGCCGGGCTCGTTCATCCCAACGGCGGCGGCTCCGCCGCCAGGCCAGCCGTCCGTGGCTGCCTGGCTGCAGCGGGGGGCAGCGGCGGCGAGGCGCCTGGGGGCGGACGCCGTAGGCCCGGCCGCTTAGCGGCCGAGGCGGCCGCCCCGCCCACCAGCGCGTGGCGCCGCCGTCGCGGGGCCTTGGCTTGGGCCAGGCTCACGGCGTGGGGATGCGGCGCCACGGGGCCCGGCGCGCCCCTCCGGCCAGGTGGGCGCGGAGGTGGCGTGGGCCGCGGCGACTTGTCTAACTCGAGTTCGTGCAGTGCAGGGTGCGCATCGCCGCCGTCGGCCGGCGCGGGGCGTGCAAGGCGCCGGGGGAGCCGGAGCTTGGGCCAGGCTCATGGCGGCGCGGCGTGCCCGCTGGCCCGGCGGCGCGTCGCGCGGCGGGCGCTCTCTGCTGCCGGGGGCCGCAGGGGTGGTGAGCCAAGGCTTGGGCCGGGCTGACCAGGCGGCGCGGCGGTGACGGGGGGCGCCCGTGGGGCGACGCGGGGGCGCAGTGCGCGGACGCGGCACTCGGAGAAACGGTGACGCTCCGCCTGCCCCCCCCCTTGCCCCGCCGTCTCGCCCCTGCGCTCCCCCGCCCCGGCCTCCTCTGCCGCGCCTCGTCGCCGGCGCCCTGGCCCGGGCTCTCCGGGTCGCTGCCGCCGGGAGAGGCTGGGGGGGATCCTGGCGAGAGTACCCCGCGCGGTCGCCAGTCGCGCCCTGGGACGTCGGCACTTCCTGACCGCGCGTGGCACCCCGCGCCAGGTAGCCCCCGGTCGCCCCCGTCGGCGCCGAGCGGGGCTCGGACCCATGGGGGGGGGCGGCGGCCCGGCCCCCTCACTGCCTGACGGGAGGCGCAGGACTTGACTGGCGAGGCCACGCGGGCGCTGGGGAGGTGGGCGGTGACCCCAGTGCGGCGCTCCACGCTCCTTGGCGGAGCGGTGGGCGCATCGCGAGGGTCACGGCTGACCCCGGCGGCGCGTGGCCTGGCTGCCCCGCGTCCGGGGGCCGCTGGGGGGCCGGCGCGCTGGGGGGAGGCCGAGGGCGCCACCGCCCGCGCGGCGCGTGGCCGAGTTCCGGCCAAATTCGGCCACGTGAGGCGCGGACGGGGGCGCTGACGGGGCCGCGGGCCCCAGTGGCTGGTTGCCCTCTCCCCTCCTCCCCCCCCTTGGTTCTTTTCGCGGGGGGCTCGGGGGGATGGCCGTTGGGGGGCCGGCGCGCTGGTGGGGGGGCGCCACCGCCCGCGCGGCGCGTGGACGAGTTCCGGCCGAACTCGGCCACGCGGGGCGCGGACGGGAGCGCTGACGGGGCAGCGGGCCCAAGGGGAGGGCCGCCCACCCCCACCTCCCCTTCCTCGTTGGTGCCGGCGCGCGGGGGGGAGGGCGCTGCCGCCCGCCCGGCGCGTGGCCGAGTTCCGGCCGAACTCGGCCACGCGGGGCGCGGACGCTAGCGCCCCGACGGTGCCGCAGAGGATGGTCGCCTCCTCCCCCCCGCCCCTCACCTCCACGCTTTCCTTCGCTTGGGGAGCCCGGGGTGGGAGATGGTGCTGTGGGGGGGGGCCGCCCCCCTCGCGGCCACACGGACCCGCGGCTGAGGCGTGGTGGGGGGACCGGACGCGCCCATCCCACACCCCTTGGCGGACGGGGGCGCCGCGCTCCCCCGTGAAAGGTACCCCCTGGGGCAGCGGCGCCCCCGGCTCCCCAAGGCGCGGGAGCCGAAGGCCCAGGGGGCGGATGTTGTCCCGCGCCGGGGAGTCGCCCGGCCCCTCGGGGACCCCCCGGGGGCCGTCCGGAATAACATAGTCCGAACATAGTCCCTCCTCCCTCCTCCCTCCTCCCTCCTCCCGCCCTCCTCCTCCTCCTCCCCTCCCCCTCATTCCTCCTCCTCTCCTCCTCCTCCTCCTCCTCCTCTCCTCCTCCTCTCCTCTCCTCCTCCTCCTCCTCATCCTCCTTCCTCCTCTCTCCTCCTCCTCCCTCCTCCTCCTCCTCCCTCCTCCTCCCTCCAGAGCTCCTCCTCCTCCTCCCTCCTCCTCTTCCTCCTCTCCTCCTCCTCCTCCTCCTCCTCCTCATCCTCCTCCCCCTCCTCATCCTCCTCTTTCTCCCTCCTCTCCTCTCCTCCTCCTCCTGCTCCTCCTCCTCCTCCTTCCTTCCTTCCTCCTCCTCTTTCCCCTCCTCCTCCTCCTCCTCTCCTCCTCATCCTCCTCCTCCCCTCCTCCTCCCTCCTCCCTCCTTCCTCCTCTCCTCCTCCTCTCTCTCCTCCAGCTCCTCCTCCTCCTCAGTCCTCCTCCTCCTCCTCCTCCCCCTCCCCCCCTTTCTCCTCCCTCTCCTCCTCCTCCTCCCTCCTTCCCCTCCCCCCCCTCCTCTCCTCCTCCTCCTCCTCCTCCTCTCTCTCCCTCCTCCTCCTATTTCTTCCTCCTCCAGCTCCTCCTCCTCCTCCCCCCCCTCTCCCTCCTCTCCTCCTCCTCATCCTCCCCTCACTCCCTCCTCCTCCTCCTGCTCCTTGGCTTCCTGCTCCTCCTCCTTCTGCTCCCCATCGCCTTCTCCTCCCCTCCCCATCCTCCTCCTCATCCTCCTCCTCCTCCTCCTCCTCCTCCTCCTCCTCCTCCTCCCCCTCTTCCCCCTGCCCTCGAAGGCGAGGCCCTTCTCCCAAGCGCGCCCAGGTGCGCGTGGCGCCGCGGCCCGCGCTGCGGGCGTCGCGCATGGCACGCGCGCGGGCGGCGGAGGCCGCGCGGCGGCGTCTACTCCTCCTGGGCGGCGAGGCGCTCCGCCGTGTACTCGGAGACCCCCAGCAGGAAGAGCACGGTGCTCAGGTCCCGCTGGTTGATGCGGAGCTCGGTGGCGGCCTGCACCTGGCCGGGAGGCAGCTCTATACTGGGCCCCGCTGGGGGGCTGCTGCGCTGGGTCAGGCCACGGCTGAAGCGGGATCTACCGTGATTTGGCGGGACTGAGCCAGATCAAGCGGGACCGAACTGGCTTTCGGACCAGGGCAAAGTCAGAGTTTGGCCTCCCAGGAGTTGCATCCGAAACCTTGGGCTTCGCGCAGAAGGCGATGCCCAGCCCGGCGGCGTTCAGCATCGGGATGTCCTTGGCGCTCTCCCCGACGGCAATCGTCTGCGACACCTCGCAGCCCTCCACGTTCGCGATCGTCGCCAGCAGGGCGCGCTTCCGCTGCGGCGTGACCACGGGGCCGGAGGTGGCGCCGGTGAGGCATCCGGTCGTCTCGTCGACCTCCAGGGTGTTCGCGAAGGCGTAGTCGAGCCCGAGCTGCCCCTGCACCTCCTGCACGAGCGGCTGGAAGCTGCCAGAGACGACCGCGATCTTGTACCCCAGCCTCTGGGGGAGGAACAGCCCCAGCCCCCCGACATCACGATTTTTAGGTCGGGCATGTCCCCCTGCAGGCAGATTTTGGAGGAGAAACCAAACATTATCACAAACTGTTCAAGCATTGTCAAACAAATACGCGAAACATCGGCCCCAGACTATTTTTGGAATATTTCTGAATATTCTTCCTGGAGAGGGACAGGCCCGACTTATCAATATTTTTCCATGACGTCGACCCCCAGGGGTCTCGACCCATTCCCCGGGGACCGGGTTGTCATCCCGAGTCGTTTCTTGACGGTCCCGCGGCCCGGCAAGGGCCCTCGGGGGCCGAAACATTGAAAAACCTGGCGTCGTGATTCTTTCATGACTCGGTGGGACGCACATGGACATACTAATACTATATGTCCTCCTTGGAGGCGCGCGTCCGACCCGAACATACAGTATACCCATCTTGTAGTATATCGTTTCCCGAGCGGTGTGGCCAGAAAGCGCCCGCCACGACGCATGTACTATAAGATTTCTCGGTGCGCGCGTCGCCCCTGGGGGGGCGACGAACACATAGTATGAGTATGTTGGGGGGATGCCGACTCGAGGGGGTCTGGGGCAAAGGCGCAGCGTGACCAGGGCCTCTCGGAGGTGCGTGCGCATGTCGCGGGTCGGCGCTGATCCCCCCCCCCTTCTTCCCCGCACCCCTTCCCGGGCGCAGCCGAGGGGAGGGATCCGCGGGCGTTCGAAGATTTCGGCCTCTGCGTTTTTTTTTCTATCTCACACCACGACTGGAACAACAGCAGCAGCAACAACAACCCCAACAACCACAACCACAACCACAACCACAACCACAACCACAACCACAACCGCAACAACAACAGCAACAGCAACAGCAGCAACATCAGCACCAGCACCAGCAACAGCAAGAACAACATCACTAACAGCATCACCACCACCAACAACAGCAACCACATCCATAGCAACAACACACCCAACAACTACAACAACCACACAACATCAAACAGTGAAAGACAGTTCGCTTTTACCTGCTCGCGTGCCAGTCATCACGTATATCCCAAACCCTCGATACCCGCCCTCTTCGTCTTTGATCGTACCCCTTTAGGGATATATCTTTCTAGCCTGCAACGTGTATTTCGTGCAGCCACGAAGGCAGGGGAAGAGAAGACGGATGGAAGGAAGGGACAAGAGACAGGCGGGTTGCTGAAGCGTGCGTCCTGCATGAATCGCGAGGAAGTCTCGAGCGATAGCGCGATTCCTAAATCAATCGTGATGGATAAATCAGCAGCGAGAGCGACATTCTTGAGTGTCGAGGGCGCGGCGTCTGAACAAATTGTGAGAAGTCCCACGCGAGAGCGCGATTCCTGTATACATTGTAAAGAAATCCTACGCGAGAACGCGATATGGGAATCCATTGTGAGGAGGAATCAAGCGGGAGCCGGTATTGTTGTAAGCCGGGGCCCAACAACTCAGTTTGGTGTCACCTGACTTTCCCTGGTAAAAGACAGGGTGCAAGCCCCATGATAAGGACTTTCACTGAACAGATACAAAGGTTACAGGACAGGAGGGATCAACAACAATTATTTTGTAGAAGTGAGAACTCAACAAGGACAACGATACCACCACCACCAACAACAGCAACAACAACGACTAAACATCAACAATAAAAAAAACATCAGCAGCGGCAACAACGACAACACCCATTTTCAGACTGTTCGCTCCTATCTTCTCGCGTACCGCTCAGCACGTACATCCCAAACCCTCGGTACCCGCCCTCTTCGTCCTCGATCGTGCCCTGTTGCGGGTATATCTTCCTTACCTGCCACGTGCACTCAGCGCAGCCCCTGAAGCTGAAAAGAAAGGACGGATTGAAGGGGGAGGAAAAGGATGGAGCACGAGAGAAAGTAGCAGGACGCGGGCTAGGAGCAGAACGCGTGTGGCAGAACCACGCGGGCATATCGGGCGGGCTGACCCCAGCGGCTGGGTCGGGAAGGCGGGCCCAGGCGGCAAGGTCGAGGCCCAGGCAGCGAGGTCGAGCAGGCGGGTTGCTGAAGCGTGCGTCCTGCAATAATCTCTAGGAAGTCTCGAGCGATAGAGCGACTCCCAGAGAAACCGTGAAGCATCCGGCGGGAACCGTTGACTTCTCATTTCTAAACAGTGACTATTCTACCACGAACCGGTGTGATCTCGCACAGCGTTCTCTCGATCGACCAACCGTGCCTGGGTGTGCTGGGATGGGCCGATGTAGTGTTTCGGTGTGCTGGGATCCGCGCGCTGGGGACGGCGTGCTGAGATGTGTCGGACGTCTGAGATGTGCGCTGGAGGCCGGGATGCGTGCCGTGATGTGCTGGAACGCGTGCTGGCCGTGGCCCCTTCTGGACGTGCTGGGGGGTGTGCCGGCAGGTGCCGGTGTGCGCTATGGGGGTGCTGGGGTGTGTGGGCGCTGGCTGCCCCCCGCCCTCGCCCCCATGCTCCGACCGACCGTGCCCCCAGCCTCTCCCCCCGTGGCCGCCTTCTCTGCCCTTCCCCGCTGCCCGACCGTGCCCCCCTCGCTCCCCGCCGCCCCTCTTTGCATGCCGTCCGGCCGTGCCCCCCGGACCGTGGCCCCCGTTCCCCCCCGCCCCCCTCCCCTCACTCCGGCCGGCCGTGACCCCTCCGCCCCTTTCCGCCCCGTGACCACCCTCCCCTTGCTCCAACCCACCGTGCCCCCCCCCGCTGCCTGACCGCGTTCCCTCGCTCCCCCGCCCCCTTCGCAGTATTCCGACCGACTGCGCATGCCCCTTTACCCCCGGCCCCCCTCCCTTGTAAACGTACCCCCCCTGCTCCCCTCCCCCCGCTCCTGTCCCTTTCTTCCGACCGACCGTGCCCCACATTCGACTAAACGCTAACGGCCCCCAATGGTAGACCCGCGACAAGGGCTTCAACATATACCCGCGCAAAGAGGCTCAACCAAACGAGCCCTGAAATTTCAACCCTCCTGAAATGTAGACCCTGGCCTGAAGGACCTCGAAATTTAGACTGCGCGCGAAAGGCGGGGGTCTACTTTGGGGGTGCGTCGGGCAAGTCTACATTTCAAGGGCCACTGGTTTTTGTCATGGCCCCCTTCGCATTGTTCTGACCGACCGTGCACCCCCCCGCCCCCCCGTGACCCCCCTGCCTTTTTATTCCGATCGATCGTGAACCCCCCCTCGTCCGGACCGTACCCCCCCGTCCCGTTATTCCGACCGACCGCGCCCCCCTCCTCCCCTCGTAGACGCCCTCCGACCGTGGCCCCCCCCCCCCCCCGGCTTTCCCCCGTGGCCCTCCGCCGACGCTCTCTCGTTATGGTCACTCACTGGCCTGTCGCAGCACTCGCGCGCTTCTTCAAAACTACCAAAGCTTGGCGCCATCGCCATTTCTCATTGTCCCGCATCCGTGGTTGTATGATCCTTGGCACGCGTGCCTCTTGTTGTTGATCCTCCCGCCCCGGTGACCATTCTATCTTTTCAGCTGTTTTTGCTTCTCCCGGGGCTCGCACCCTATGTCACATGAAAATCTGTTGTCACCAAAATGCGCCCCTGGCCCCTGGCTTGCAACAACAACGGCTCCCGCCTGATACACCCTCGCAATGTACTTCACATTCGTGCTCTTGCGGGGGACTTGCTCAACATGTGTCCAGGGATCGCGCTCTCGCGTGGCACTTCCTGATAAGCTTTTGCGGCGCCGTGCACCCAAGACTTACACATCACGCTCTCGCTGTGGACTTCCGAACGAATCATTTCGGGATCGCGTTATCGCTCGAAACTTCTTTCATGATGGGTTGATGCCTTAGCGACCCGCCCGCTCGACCCGGCTGCCTGGGCCCGCCCGCCCGACCTGCCCCTTCGCGGCTTGTCTGGGGCGTGGTGCGTCTTCTCGCGTGACCGCTTCGGACCCAAGAGGACCTCAAGACGGGCCAAGAGGGTTCCGAAGAGGTCCCCAAACGAGCCCAGATGGCTTCGAGTCGCCGAACGATCGCTCCAAGACCAGCAAGATGGCCCCCAGACAGCCCAAGAGGCATGCAAAACGCCCAAGGAGGCCTCCAAGTGGCCTCCCAAGAGGACACAACCATTGATTTTCCGTGGGTGTTTGGAGGATTTGGGCGTTCTCGACTTCTCGGTTTCCCGACGCTCCCAGACGGCCCTAGAGGCCGCACGACGGCTCCAAAATGGGCCCCACAGAGGGAACACGACAAGGGCGCCCAGAAGGCTCCAAGAGGCCCCCACGATACCCAAAAGAGGCACCAGGAGGCATCCGAGAACCCCCCTGCGAGATCCCAACGAACATCCAATCTGCTTCGTACCCACGACCCAGGCGCGCTGGCGGGATGGGCCGACGGCCATGCGATAAGTATGGTTGCCCGCCCCAGTGACCACTGTATTGTTCAGTTGGCATGCTCGTCCCGGGGCTCGCAGTCTATTGCTTAAGCAGGGGAGGTCTGCGGCCACCAAGATGCGCCCGTGGCCACCCGTCTGCAGCAGCAGCGGCTGCCGCCCGAGACCTCCTCACGTTTGCTCATTATTTATCCAGGACTCGCGCTCTCGCGTGGCACCTCCTCAAGATTGTTTGCGCGCGCCCAAGACCTATAAATCACGCGCTCGATGTGGATCTCTAGCGATGTTGATGGAAATCGCGCCTATCGCTCGAAACCTCCCTCCTTCATGATGGGATGGCGCTTTAGCGACCCGCCCGCTCGACCTGGCCGTCTGGGCCCGCCCGCCCGACCTGCCCGTTGGGGTCCGCCCGCCCGGCACGCCGGGCTGGGTTTGCCGCTCGTGCTGCCGCCCCTGGCCTTTCTTGCTGCACATTTCTCTCGTGCTCCATCCTGCTCCCTCCCCCTTTGTCTCTTCACCCATCCCTTCCTTCCCTTGCCCTCAGGGGCTGCACCAACTACAGGCGGCATGTAGGGAAGACGTACTCCACAGGAGGGGATGCGACCGAAGACGAGTGCAGCGGAGACCGAAGGTTTGGGATAAACGTGTTGGATAGAACGCCAGCAGATAAGAGCGAACAGTCGTACAATGATTGTTGGTGTTGTAGTTCGGGGCCCAACGGAGCAGTTTGAGCACGATGACTTACCCTGATCTGAAACAGTGTGTGTGTGTGTGTGTGTATGCCCCGAGGGGGGACACTTCAATTGAAAACCACAATCTGCACCAGTGGGGGGATCAGCCATGATCATTATTCAAAAATGAGAGTTCAACAACAACAACCACCACAACAACACCACAACTACCACCACCACCACCACAGCAAAAACAATCACAATCAGTTTAAAACTGTTCGCTCCTATCTCCCCGCATGCCGCTCAACACGTATATCCCAAACCCTCGGTACCCGCCCTCTTCGTCTTCGATCGTATCCCCCTTGGGGGCATAGCTTCCTCACCTGCCACGTCAGGAAAGTAGCAGGAGAGGGGCCAGGAGGAGAAAACACGTAGCAGCACCAGACGGGCAGATCAGGCGGGCAGACCGTAGAGGGCGGGTCGGGAAGGCGGGTCCACGCGGCCAAGTCGAGCAGGCGGGTTGCTGGAGCGTGAATCCTGCATGAATCGCGAGGGAATCTCGAGCGAGGTAATGAAAAAAAGGTCAGGGCGAGCGCGTGTTTCCTGAGTGTCGGGGGCGCGGCGTCTGCATAATTTCAAAAGAAGTCTTAGACGAGAACGCGATTCCTGCATACATTGTGAGGAAGTCCCGCGCGAGAGCGCGACTTGGGAATACATTGTGAGGGAATATCAGGCGGGAGCCGTTGTTGTTATAACTCGGGGGCCTAGGACCCAGTTTGAGCACGAAGACTTCCCTGGATATAGAAAAAAGGTGTGAGCCCCGGGAGAAGCACTGTAAGTGAAAAGCAATGTGCACCGCTGGGGGGATCAACTGCAATTAATTCTTAGAAATGAAAATTCAATGGCTACCACAACAGCAGCAATGACAGCAGCAACAACAAACACAACAACAACCACAACACCAACAGTAATGCGGGATGACGATTCATGAAAAATGAGAGAGAACGATCAAAACATAGTTTTCTGCTATTTCTGCACAAATTTCTGACTGGAGGAGAACGATTAAAACATAGTCCGCGGCCGGTTTTTTCTAATCGTCATCCCAGGCGCCGCCGCGTGAACAAGACCCCCGGTTATTTATTTTTTGTCGTCCTCTATTAACAACAGCATCAACAACAGCAGCAACACCAATCATTTTTTAATATTGCTCGCTCTCACCTGCTCGAGTGCCGTTCAACACGTCTATCCCAAGCCCTCGGTACCCGCACTCGTCGTCTTCGATCGTACCCCCCTTGGGGGCTTATCTTTCTTACCTGCCGGGCGTAATTGGTGCTGCTCTTGAAACATGGGAAAAGGACGGATGGCAGGGGGAGGGAGAAGGATGGAGCACGGGATTAGCATGAGGGGGCCAGGAGCAGAAAGCACGTGGCAAAACCAGACAGGCCCATCGTGCGGGTAGACCCGAACGGGCGGGTCGGAACGGCGGGCCCAAACGGCCAGGTCGACAAGGCGTGGCGCTGAAGTGCGATTACTGACCGAATCGCGAGGAGAGCTCGAGCGACGGTGCGATTCCCAAGTAAATCGTGAGAGAGACCAAAGCGAGAGCGTGGTTCCTGAGTGTCGAGGGCGCGGCGCCAGAACAAATTGCGAGGGAGTCCCACGCGAGAGCGCGATGTCTCCATATATTGCGAGGAAATCCCACGCGAGAGTGCGACTTGGGAGCATCTAGTCCGGCGGAAGCCATTGTTGTAAACCGGGGGGCGTGGGCATAGTTTGGTAACACCTCGCTTTTTTGCACACAAAACAAAACAACAAACACGGTGCGAGCCCCGGGAGGAGCACTTCAATTGAAAAGTACAATGGTTACTGGAGAGGGCGGATCAACACTCATTATTATTTAGAAATCAGAATTCAACACCAGCAACATCAGCAGCAACCACAAACAGGCAATCAAACAAACAAACAAACAAACAAACAAACAAACAAACAAACAAACAAACACACAACAACAACAACAACAACAACAACAACAACAACAACAACAACAACAACAATAACAAGAACAACAACAACAACAACAACAACAACAACAACAACAATAACAACACCAACACCAACACCAACAACAACAACAACAACACAAACAACAATCATGTCAAGGGTGTTCGCTCTGATCTGCTCACGGGCCATTCGTCACGTATATCCTTACCCCTCCATGCCCGCCCTCTTCGTCTTCGATCGTGCCCCCTCAGGGGTGGATCTTTTTTTCCCTGCAGCGTGCATGTTTGTACAGCCGCTGAGGCAAGGGAAGAGAGGACGTCTGGAAGGAATGGAGAGGGAGGGGGATGAAGCACAAGAGAGAGAGTAGCAGGAAGGAGCAGAAAGCACGTGGCAGAACCAGACGGGCTGATCGGGCAGGTAGGGCGGGTCGGGAAGGCGGGCCCAGGCGGCCAGGTCGAGCAGGCGGGTTGCTGAAGCGTGCGTCCTGCACGAATCGCAAGGAAGTCTCGAGCGACAGCGCGATTCCTGAAGAAATCACGACAAAGGCCACAGCGAGAGCGTGACTCCTGAGTGTCGAGGGCGCGGCGTCTGCATACATTGCGAGGAAGTCCCACGCGAGAGCGCGATTCCTGTATACATTGTGAGGAAGTCCCGCGCGATAACGCGATTTGGAAGTACATTGTGAAGAAGTAAAAAGCGAGAGCCGCTGTTGTTGTAAACTGGGGGCCGGCAACCCAGCTTTGTGACAGCCCGCTTCGTTTTTTCTGGAAAGGGTGCGAGCCCCGGGAGAAACACTTCAACTGAAAACTACAATGGTTACAGGGCAGGTGGGATCAATCCTTAGACATGGGAATTCAATACCAGCAACAAGAGCAACAACATCATCAACAACAACAGCAGCAACAACCATAACAACAACAAACACAACTACAACCACCATGTTGAAACTGCTCTCTCTTATCTGCTCGCGTGTCATCCAACACGCATGCCCCAAACCCTTCATACCTGCCTTCTTCGTCGGAATCAACAATCATGATTCTTTAGAAATCAAAATCGTCAGCCTCCACGTGAGGAACGATGCCACCAGCGACAGCGAGACTGGGGAGTCGATATAGGCGGCAACCCTTGCCGCAAGTCCGTCTCACCCCATGCCTTTCCAGGTGAGGCGAAGACGCCGGCACGGAACGAGAAGGCGGCCGTGGGAAGGAGAGACGAGGAGCGACCAACGATCACTGTACCGCTTCTTGCCCCCTCGAGCCTCTTGAGCGTGCTGCACAGCCTTCGGGCTCCGGGCGTGAAGGTGAGCCCCGCCCGCACCTGGCGGAACAGCGGCTCCGCGGGGCGGCCCCTCAGCAGCTCCACGCTGGCCTTCAGGGCGTCGAAGAAGTTGAGCTCCCCGCGCTGTGCTCTCTCCGTGATGGCCCTGGTCTCCTCCTCGACCCCCGCGCACTTGGCGATCGAGTCCATCACCTCGACGGCTGGCGACGGGAGGAGGAGAAGGAGGAGGAGGAGGAGGAGGAGGAGGAGGAGGAGGAGGAGGAGGAGGAGGAGGAGGAGGGGGAGGAGAAGGAAGAGGGAGGAGGAGGAGGCGGAGGAGGAGGAGGAGGAGGGGAGGAGAAGGAAGAGGAGGAGGAGGAGGCGGAGGAGGAGGAGGAGGACGACGACGAGGAGGAGGGGGAGGAGGAGGAGGAGGAGGAGGAGGAGAGAGGAGGAGGAAGAGGAGGAGGAGGAGGGGGAGGAGGAGGAGGAGGGGGAGGACGAGGAGGAGGAGGAGGAGGAGGAGGAGGAGGAGGGGAGGAGGAGGAGGAGAGGAGGAGGAGGAGGAGGAGGAGGAGGAGGAGGAGGAGGAGGAGGACGAGGAGGAGGGGGAGGACGAGGAGGAGGAGGAGGAGGGCCGCCGCGCCCGGCGACGCGGGAGCCGAGGTCGACCTGAGCCGGGCCTACGACTCGGTGGACCACGGCGTCGCAGGCGCCGCCCTCAGGCACCAAAGTGCACCTGCTCCGGTCGTGGCTACCATGGAGGCTGTCTGGCGGGCCCCCCGAATTTGCTCGGTGGCCGGGGACACTGCTGCTGCTTTACACCCTACTCGGGGCCTGCCGCCCGGCGACCCTTCTTCGGGCTGTATCCTCAGTCTGGTGCTTTGCCCCTGGCACGCCGCGGTCCGCTCGGTGCCCAGGACGCGCGCATGGTCCTATGTGGACGACCGTTCCATTAAGGCCGCCGCGGCGGTTGATCGGGACCGTGCCTTAGCGATCACTCCGGAGATCGACCGGCGGCTTGGCTTTTCGGAGAACGCTAGAAAGCGGCAGGTTTGGTCGGGCACCCAGAGCGCCGAACATTTTGGGAGTGCGGGCCGCTGTCGGTGACGCCGCGACCTGGCCCCAGCTGCCTGAGCCTCGGGACGGGTGGGACCAGATCCGCTCCCAGGTGCGCCGGCTCCGCACGGTCAGCGGGTCAGGGAGCTCGCGGCCCTGATGTGCATCGCTCCTCATCGGTGGTCGGCTCCGTTCTGCGCGATCTCGCCATGTGATCTGATCGCGCTCACGTTTCGGTCTGCTGGTGGCGCGCTCGGCGTTGGCACGCCGAGCGGGTTTCGTTGCACCCTGTCTTCGGTACGGCGTGCGCTGTGCTGAAGGCGGCTCGGGGGGTTCCCGCGTCGCGGTTGTTGTCGGTGGCGCTCTCGGAGCATTCTGGCGTGTTCGGGCTGCTCCAGGTTGCCGCCGGGTCGCTCCCCGAAGGCGTCTGGCTGCTTCCGGCCCCGGGGCTCGACCCTCGGGCCGCGGCGGCGGTTGCCGCTGCAGCCGCCGCTGACAGCCGCGAAGCGAGAACCCGGCACCCTGGGACCCCTCGCCCCCCCTGGAGGGCTTTCGACGCCTCATCCGATCGCGGTCAGCACGTTCTCCGGGAGTGCGCCCGGGCGGCGCTCCTTCGCCCCAGGGCGGCGCCTGGGCCCCCGCCGCGGCACGACGAAGAGGGGAAGATCGATCTGGCTGTTCAGAGCGCGCCGCCGTGGGCCCAGTTCCGGCGATCGCTGGGCCGATACGAGAAGAACCTCCTCGCCGTTTGGAGGGGCGGGGCCGTGTGCACGCCGACGCGCAGGCACGGCGGCGCGTGCGTTTGCCCGTTCGGTTGCGGGCACACCCAGGCGTCGGCTCGGCACTTCTGGGCCGAATGCCCGCGTTTTGCTGGACGTCGGCTCGAACTCGGGGAGAATTCTGCGGGTCACGCCGGCCTGGTGGGGAGCCCAGCCCCGCGTCACGGCGAAAACGGGGTGGATCACTAAGGCTGGGGGGCTCGATTCAGCGTCGGGCTCAGCTGCAGGTGATGGCGTGCCGCCTCGGCGTCGCCATCATGCAGGCGCTCGCCGGCCTCGGCGGGTGGGCCTTCGGGGACGCGGTCTTCCCGCCTGGGGCCCACCTGGGTCCTCCCTCCCTTCTCTCCCCTTTCCCTCCGGCGGGCGGCGGCCTGGCGGGCGGCGGGACGGACGACGACGACGCTGACGACCTCCATCCCCCTCCTGGTGGTGGTGGTGGTCCCCCGGGTGCTGACACCCGTCCTAATCAATTAGCTCCGCTTCAGTCCTGTGGTCCACCGGCCCTTTTCCCGCTTCGCGCCCGGGTCTACTGCGGCCCAGGGGCTTCCCAAGGTTTGAACAGCGCTGCGCGTTGTTTTAAACAGCAGCTAGGGCAAAGGCACCCTGCTGCTTTCAATTCTCAGGAGGAGGAGGAGGAGGAGGAGGAGGAGGAGGAGGAGGAGGAGGAGGAGGAGGAGGAGGAGGAGGAGGCGGAGGAGGAGGAGGAGGAGGAGGAGGAGGAGGAGGAGGGCGGCGGTCACGGCCGACGGCTGGCCACGGGCGACGGCCCGGCGCCCCCGACGGCCGGCGGCGGCGACGCACGACGGAGGGCGGCGACGAGCCTCCTGCTCGATGAGGCTCTCGATGTCGAAGACGACCAGGCGCCGCATCCAGCGCTCCATGCCGTCCTCCGAGCAAGGGAGCGTCCACAGACTTGACGTCGTGTGCCCGCCCAGGAACACATGCGTAGGATGTTTTCGCAGATCTCTATGAACCGTCTACACGTCGTTCATTACTAATCGTGCCCATTTCTAGTTCTGCTCGTTTCTAACTGTTCCTGGCCCCCCAGTGGCCAGGAAGAGACCCAGGATGGAAAAAATAGAAATGAAAGGATCTTGGCCCCCAAGAAATCAAATAACTTTCGAATACTTAGAAATGAAGAATGTGTACGCATGAATCGACGAAAAAATCAACTCTGGGGTGCATCAATCCTGTGGCCGATCCCCTAAGCTCGATTCCTTCTGGAAGGCGATGTCCCCTCCGTGCTCGTTGGAGACCTCCGCCAGGGCCCTCCGGAGCAGGCCGACCTCCAGGCCGCCTGGCAGGTTGACGGTCAGCTGCAGCGCGACGAGGTCGTGCGTGCTCAGCTTGTGAACGCATTCTTATTCGCCGTTTCGACATCGATCGGGAGGAGGAGGGGAGAAGGGGGGGGAGCTCTGGCTCCGGACCCCTGCTCAATGCGACTGTTTGCAGCAGTGCGTCCTGTGGGGGAGGCTCCACGTGCTCGAGACAGGCGCCAGGAACAGCCGAGATCTACTGCATGGGGGGCGGGGAGGGGGTGCGAGGGCCCGCGCCGATCGACAAAATAAGGAGTAAGAAAACTATCGCCTTGTCGATTCGCACGCAGTTCACGTCGTGGGCCGCCATGGCCTGCAGGACGCCGCGGAGGGTGGCGCTGGAAATGTGCGGCATCTGCACCATGGTGATGATGTGCCGGCTCTGGAAGTAGTGCCGCCAAAGCATTTCGGTGGTGCTGGCAGTCCTTGCGAGGCGGGGATTTGTCCATATCCACCGCTCGTGGAAACGACGCCCTGGGACCAAAACGGGCGGTCGATATGGATATACTTGGGCCCCAGGGGCGGCGTGTATATCCATATCCACCGCCTGTCGAGGTCTCCGAGAATCGGGCCTCCGGCCGGTGGTCATGTATAAATCCCCGTCTCGGAGTCCTGTGCTCGATGTGCTGGACTTGGAAGCCCTTCTCCTGCGGGGCAACGATCGGAGGGGACTGGCACAGGGGCGGACGCATCAGCCTGGAACCGGCGATGCATCGGAAGGGCCCCGGAGAGTGCGTCCGCAAGCTCCTGGGCAGGTGGGGGCTACTGGGCACCCATCGGCGATCCATGGGCGATTGGGGGTCGATGCATCCCCCCCCTGTGCCCATCCCCCCGCGATGAGCAAACAGAAGATGAGGAAGACCAGCATCTGTTGCCTCAGCATGTCGATGACACGCCGGTGGCTTGTGTAAGGCACAAGCCTGAAGCCCGGTGGTTCTGCCCTCTCTGCACTGCCCTCAGCCACCTCCACCTCTTCCTCCTCGACCTCCTCTTGCTCCTCCTCCTCCTCCTCCTCCTCCTCCTCCTCCTCCTCCTCCCTCCTCCTCGTTCCTCCTCGTTCCTCCTCCTCCTCCTCCTCCTCCTCCTCCTCCTCCTCCTCCTCCTCCTCCCTCGTCTGCATCAGCTGCCATCCTCCGCTCATGCTGGCGCTTTGCCCACTGCGTCGTTCCCCCTGGTCTCCTTGCACTCGCGGGAGAAGCACGCCATCGCCTGCTCGGGGTCGGCGGCCTGCATGCGCAGGTGCAGCCCCAGGCAGATGCCGCCGTCCTGCAGGCTGCACTGCTTCACGAGCGCCACCTCGACCTGGGGCGGGGACTGCCCCTGCGGCTTCGCCAGCGGCTCCAAGATCCGGCGCAGCTGCCCAGGCTCGCGCAGCCGCGAGGTCACCTTGACGACGAAGAGGGTGAAGGCGCTTCGAGGCGGTGGCGCGAAGGCACTGGCTTTCTCCTCCCGCCGCTCCCGCCGCAGTGCAGCCACGTCCGTGCCGTTGAAGCCGAGCAAGTAGAGGGCCACCGTGAGGTCCCGCTGTTTCTGGGAGTTGAAGTACACCATGGGGCCGAAGGTCTCCATGACGAGTCGGGCGTTGGCAGCCTTCAGGCCCTTCAGCGGCTCGCCAACGGCGATGACATTCTTGTACTCGATCTTTTCTCGATCTGCCATGAGTTTCAGGACGTCCGACTTCCGGAAAAGCACGTCGGTGAGCTCGCCGGCGTACCGACCGGTGAAGCGGCCCTCGGCCACCTCCAGGTCCCGGCAGATGACGTAGTCGATGCCCAAGCGCCTTGCAGTGAAGCAAATGGGGAGGAGGAGGAGGAGGAGGAGGAGGAGGAGGAGGAGGAGGAGGAGGAGGAGGAGGAGGAGGAGGAGGAGGAGGACGACCCTGGGGCCCGACCCCAAGGTCAGCCTGACCAATTTTCCATCCTGCGAGCAGTTTTCAGACAATCCTGGGGCCCGTGAGGGCCCAGAGACGTCAGACACAGCGCAAAACCTCAAGGCCCGTTTGCTCCATCCAGAGATCCGATGTCGTGATTTTTTCAATACGGGGTCCCTGGAAGTGTCGACCCATTCCCCAGGACCCGTTTTTCATCCTGAGTCGTTTTTTGACGGTCCCGGGGCCCGGCGAGGGCCCCTCGAGGCCGAAAAATGCAAAACACCTCCGTCTAGATTTTTTCAATGCGTTGGATCTCTGGGCATGTCCAGCCTCTTGACGCTCTCGACGACGGACCGGCAGCCGGTGTTCGTGAGGATGGCCAGGGTGAAGCCCATGCGCTTTAGCGTCCAGCACACGAGCTCCGCGCCCGGCGTGAGCCTCGGATTAACCTCAAGGGGCCCAAGGACACACTCATCAATACACGCAAATAACGAGATTCCCAATATTTTCCCATACTTTCTGGGTTTTTGTCTTCCCCCCCACTTCCCATATTTTCCCCTAATCTCCTGGGGATCGACGATGACTTGTGTCTGTGAGATTTTTTCCCCTCCTGATAACCTGCGAGAGCAGCTCCGCGGGCTTCCCCTGCAGCAGCGACACCTTCCTCTGGTTGAGGCCCGCGGGCTCTCCGGGGGCTCCCGCGAGGGCCTCCTCGACGTCCACGCCTGCGATCCTGAGCAGCTCGTCGAGGACGTCGTACGGGCAGAGCACGTGCGAGAAGCCGAACACCACCAGCGACTTCCCGTTGGGCCGGTTCATGGCGTCCCACCACCGGGCGGTCACCTCCGCACCGTGGTCCCAGGCGACCCTCTGGAGCCCGCTGCGGGCGGCGCCACCGCCCAGGGGCGCGCCCATGATGAGGGAGGTCAGCTTGAGCCCGCGGGGGCAGCTCACGCGCATCGACACCTTGTTGTACTCCCCGTTGTTGTCCCGCTTGTTGTCGCTGCGGTGGTTGATCTGGTGCACGGCGCAGCCGTGCTCCAGCAGCACGCCGTCCAGGTCGTAGAGCAGCGCGGGCGAGATGGGCTCCGGGGACACCACGGATATCGCCACCTCGTTGTCGCCGCCCGCGTCGCGAGCCTCCAGCTGGTCCGCCTCCGCGAAGTGGAAGTCCAGCTGCAACCCTCTCTCGTCGGCGCACGCCGCCACGTCCCGCATGAGGCCCTCGGCGTTCTCCAGCACCTTCAGCACGAACGTGAACATCAGCGTGCCCTCGAGCAGGAACTGCGTCATGTCCAGCGGCCTGCACTGGTGCCGCGCGACCACCGCCATGAAGGCCCCCGCGATGCCGGGCTTGTCCTCGCCCCAGCCGCGGAACACCAGCACGCGGCCCCCGCCGCCGCCGCCGCCGCCCTCGCCGGTGCCCGCGCAGCGGCCGCCGGCGCATTCCGCCGCAGCGCCGGGCTTCCCCCCAGCGGCGTCGCCCATGCCTGGGGGAGGCGGAGGAGGAGGAGGAGGAGGAGGAGGAGGAGGAGGAGGAGGCGGAGGAGGAGGAGGAGGAGGAGAGAGGAGGAGAGGAGGAGGAGGGGAGGAGGAGGAGGGAGGAGGAGGAGGAGGAGGAGGAGGAGGAGGAGGGGAGGGAGGGAGGGAGGAGGAGAGGAGGAGGAGGAGGAGGAGGAGGAGGAGGAGGAGGAGGAGGAGGAGGAGGAGGAGGGGCAGCGAGCAGCGAGGGGACCGGCTCAGGCAGGAGGGGAGAGCATCGACCCCGAGCAGGCGCCACACCTCGCCGACAGAGCGGCGGCACGCTCTCCCGAGGGCGCTTCCGCGCGTGCCTGGGGCGGGGTGGGCCAGCGGGCTCCGAGCGGCGAGGACTGGGCGACCGGAGTTCGATGCTTTTCCCCCCTGCGCCGATCTCCCCGTGCGTCGGAGGAACGACAAACTGGCAGGAGCATCATTTCTCGGTGGTCCGCGCGGGCTTCTGGGATCGGCGCTGGGCCCTCCATGGCCCGCGAAGCGTACCGTGGGGTGGCGCCAGAGGCGCCGCCAGGGGGCCAAATGGCGATCCAAGAAATTCGCGCGGACCTCCGAGGAAGTATTTGTATGTCGCTCTCTCTTCTTCCATACTCAACGCTGCCCCCGAATGCCGCTAGATTGCACAACGCAGGTTGCCTCACATGGATTGCGCAACATAGGTTCTCCCGTGAAACACAAAACTCGGATCTACCGCGCCCCTCCTGGGCTTTGTCCCCTTGTCCGTGGGATGGAACGATCTACAAATGAGTCTGCCCCATCGTTGGTGCTGAACATGAGCTCGAACCATCCTAGGGAGTGCCGTTAGCGACCCCCCGCCCCCATCCCCGACAAATAACACTATGCGCGCACACTCGAAGAGGAGAGGGAGAAGGAGGAGGAGGAGGAGGAGGAGGAGGAGGAGGAGCAGGAGGAGGAACAGGAGGAGGAGCAGGAGGAGGACGATGTCAAGGACATCTGCATAAAGGGGGTGCAACGTCAGAGCACCTACTCTGGTGACCTACGCGCTTCTGTCAAAATCCCCTGCGATCTGGTGTGCTAAAGCCCTGCCTTCTCACTAGGTCTGGCAGGTGGCATACCACGTAGCTCAAGGACCGAGCTCCGAAGGAGAAGGAGGAGGAGGAGGAGGAGGAAAAGGGGAGGATGATGATGATGATGATGATGATGATGATGATGATGATGATGATGATGATGATGATGCTGCTGATGATGATGAGTAGGAGGAGGAGGAGGAGGAGGAGGAGGAGCAACTATCACCCGTTCTCAAAACAACGTGCAAAAACGGGAACAAATCGACACGCGCAGGTCGCCGCGCGCGCATGCCGGCATGCCTCAAAGACCGCAGGTTTCGCGGCGACTTCAAGGTCGAGCTTCCTGGCCGCACACAGGCACACAGTGGTTTCGCCCCAAAAAAACTTGCGCGCTCTTGTGAGTTCGTATGAACAGACACTGTTTGTCGACGTGTGGAGAGAGTGCGACCAACCGGGTATCTCGCGCGTGCCCGTCGAAATCATTCAAAAAAAAAAAAAAAATCCCCTCTTTCCAAGGCAAGCAAGGAGAGGAGAAGGAGGAATCCGCTGCCCCTCAAGGGAGCTATCCTCAACATTCACCGCGAAAGAGGCCGACCGCAGGGCAAAACGCCTTTTGCGCGTTTGCTAGGGGTGGGTGGGACACGAGCCCTGTCAAGTGATATCATGCGGGGGCACTCGCGCACGTCGGCCGCGTGCGCATGTCAAGATCGTTTGAGAAACCTTCATCGCCGACATGTGGGCACCATTATTGTCTTAGGCGTGATCGACATCGGCGCCGTCATTGGCATTGCCGTCGTCACCGTCACCTTCGTCACCACCTTCTATCACCATCGTCGAGCGCGCCTGCCACTGCCCACGTCGCCGTGGTATTGCGCCCGCCCGAGTCTCCGACTTGCACTGAAGTGTCCGCGCGCCAGCGCGGCCTGCGAGACGCGCTGGGAAGTCCCCAGCGGTCAGCGCCACCGCGGCCGCGTCTGTCGTGCCAGATTAACTGGCCGCTCTGCGCGCGAGCCTGCGCGAGCTAGCGCGGGCGCAGCGATGCACCAGTCAGCGCCAAGCAGTCGTCGCAGTTGCCGCCGTATGGGTTTTGCAGAGCAAGTTGCGGGTGGGTGGGTGGGATGACTGCGCGAGCAGGAGAGTTGCCAATCAATTTCGCAACTAGGTAAGTCCGCGATTGACGGTTTCACGTCCGTAGTTGGCCGTCACATGCGACACGCCCCACAATGTAACGCCCCCGTGCTTATCACACGCGTTACCCCGAAGACTCTCGAAGCTGGTCTCAAGGCGGACCTCGAGGCCCCATGCGTACCAAACCAGACGGGCGCTCTGCGCGCGAGCCTGCGCGGGCTAGTGCGGCCGCAGCGATACGCCAGCCAGGGCCAAGCAGTCATCGCAATCGCCACCGCAGGGGTTTGGCAAACCAAGGTGCGGGTGGGTAGGTGGGTGGGTGGGATGCTTGCGCGAGCAGTGGAGTTGACAACTCACGCATGAGCATTAATACGTTGCACCACGTAGACTGCACAACATCTATAATATATCTGTTCGTATACATATGTACATTTACACATATGTCATATAGATCATACCTGGCCAGACACGCACTGTGCCCAGACCCCCGTTGTCATGACTTGTTCACAACGCCGACCGCTACGAGTCTGGACCCATTTCCTGGGACCCGCATTGCATCTTGCGCTGTTTTTTGACGGCTCCGCGGCCCAGGGAGGGCCCCCGGAGGCCGAAAAGGGCGAGAACAACTCCCGTCGCGATCTTTTCCACGACTCGAGAGGGTCTGGGTCGTTCGGCGGCGGGCGAGGGGGGGAAGTGAGAAGGAGAAGGCCTTCTCAGAAGGCGGCGGGGCTTCTCAGAAGCCCTCTGGCCTAAGTTTCAGTGTCTTCGCGGGAAGCATAGAAGACTTCTCAGAAGGCTGGAGGACTTCCGAGCCTTCTGAGAAGGCCCGCCCCTTCTCACTCCCCCCCCTCGCTCGCGGCCGAGTCTTGGTGGGCCCTCGAAACGGCGGGGCCGCTTTTTTTTCCACCGTTTCCGAAAACCTGTCTCCTGAGAATGGAAATGGCAGAGAAACAGTGACCCGAAACGGCGACAAAACACGGCTCCGGGATTGGAACTCGAGCCGAAACCGGAAACAAAAAAAGCGACGGAACCGGCAACAGAACGGCGTCGGAGCCGGCCCCAAAACGGCAACACGAAGTGGTCAAGAACCGGCCCTGCCGTCTCCAGGGCCCGCTAAGGCCTGGGTGCAGGACTCACGCTGGCCCACACTAGAAGAAGGAGGATAATACTAATCATAAGAAGAAGAAGGAGAAGAACAATACTAATAAGCATACGCATAATACTAATACTAATAATCGTAATCGTAATACGGAAAAATAGTAATAGTCGTAGTCATAGGAATAATAATAATAATCAAAATAATAATAATGGTAATAATAATAGAAATAATATTAATAATAATGGTACTCATATTACTAATCATACTACTACTACTACGACTACTACTACTACTACTACTAATAATAATACTAATAATAGTAGTAATAATAATATTAATATTAATACTAAAGATAATAATACTAATAATAATAATGATGATGATGATAATAATAATAATGATAATGATAATACTACTAATAATAAAGATATTAATAATACTATTATTAATAATAATAGTAATAATAATACTAATCATAATAATAACAACACTACTACTAATAATATTAATGAAAAACTTTTGGCGCTCCGCGCGGATTTCTTGGATCTGCGCTGGGGCCCCATCCCTGTCGCGCGGAGCGCGCCAGGGGCGGCGCCGCCGGGGGGGGCCCGGCGCGGATCCAAGAAAGCCGCGCGGAGCGCCACAAGCCTGTGATCGTGCCGCCGCTGTTTCTTCTTCTTCTTCTTCTTCTTCTTCTTCTTCTTCCGCGCACCTCCTTCGACCCTTCGCGCTGCCCCCGAGGTGCCCCTGGCTGCCGCGGCGGCCTGCTTACTGGCACCGCGCGCGCGCCGAGAGGCCTCGCGCGGGCGGCATCTCCTCCGCGGGCGCCCAGGCGCGCTCTGCCGCGCGCGTGCGCGCGGCCGCCGAGAGGCCGCCGCACCTCCGCGGCCCCCGCGCGGCAGACGGAGCCCCCGTGGGCCACAGGGCTGCGGACCCCACTCAGGAGGGAGGTGCGGACCTCCTCCTCGTTCCTCCTCCTCCTACTCCCTCTCTCCTCCTCCTCCTCCTCTACCTCCTCCTCCTCCTCCCTCCTCCTCCTCCTCCTCCTCCTCCTTCTCCTCCTCCTCCTCCTCCTTCTCCTTTTCCTGCTCCTCCTCCTCCTCCTCCCTCTCTCCTCCTCCTCAACCTTCTCCCCCTCCCCTCCCCCTCCCCCTCCCCCTCGTCCTCCTCCTCCTGCTCCTCCTCCTCCTCCTCCTGCTTCCCGGTCCCCGTCCTTCTCCTCGGCCTCCTTCGGCTGCCCGCCTCCCTGCTCTCCGCTCCCCGCTCCCTCCCTCCATTTCCTTTTCGCGCGCCCCGGGCGGTCGCCCGTGGCGAACGCAAGCGTGTGCTGGTCCACAAAGGCCCTTCCGCACGGCGCAGGCGGCGTTGTGCGGGCCGGAACGCCCGGCGGCGGGCCATCGGCGGAGCTGGGCGGGGAAACCCTCACGTTGGGCTCAGCTGCCCCGATGCGCAACGCGCAGCACGCAGCGCATTGATGCGGAGCTCAGCACGTCGACCGAGCACGCACGTTTTGAACACGGACGTCTTGAGCACGGCACGCGTTGCGCTTCAAGACGTGCGCACCAGAGCAGCCAAGACATTGGGCGAAGGCACGTTCTCGGCATCTGCGGGCCTGCGCGCGCCACGCGAGGCCCGGGCAAGGCCCCAGGGTCTCCATACCCCCTCGAGCGCGGGACGGCTCACGGCGGAAGGCCTTTCGCCGTGAGATGTTCCAGCCTCTGGGGTTCCCACTGGGCCTCGGGGCCGTCGAGGGAAGCGACTCGGGATGAAAAGCCGGTCCCAGGAAGGGGGTCCAGACCTCTGGGGGTCGACGTCATGAACGATATCATGACGTCGGGGGTCTGGGATTAGGCGGGCGTGTTCCCCCCACAGGTGGATTTTGGAAGAAAAATGCAATTATCCGGGCGAACGGCCCAACCAGATGCAGTTGTGAACATCGCCGTTGTGGGCATCGCCGTCGGTGGATTTATTCATGGGGTCGCGAAGCGTGTCAAGGGTGTGACGCAATGGAGCGGGGACACATGCGGGCGCAGCCATTGAGGCCTTCGGTGGCGCTCCATAGTATGGGGGCACGAAAGTCGCCACTGGGGCCTTCGGTGGAGCTCCCTATGGGGCCACGAAGCGCTGTGCTGAGCGGGGGGGACAGATGCGAACACCGCCACTGGGGCCTTCGGTGAAGCTCCTTATGGGGCCACGAAGCGCTGAACTGGGTGGGGCGTGGAGCTCCCTAAGGGGCCACGAAACGTTGTACTGGGTTTGGGAAGCGCATGCGGACACCGCCACTGGGGCCTTCAGTGGGCTCCCCCACTATGGGGCCTCGAAGCGCTGCACTGGGTGGGGGAAACGCATGCGGACGCAGCCGCTGGGGCCTTGGGTGGAGCTCCCTATGGGGCCACGAAGCGTGTGAGGGGTGCTCCAAAGTGGATCGGGGGGCGGCATGCGAACGCAGCCACTGGAGCCTTCGGTAAACTCCCTGTGGGGCCACGAGACATGTGAGGGGCGTGCCAAAGTAGAGGGGGGGCGGCATGCGAACGCAGCCACTGGGGCCTTGGGTGGAGCTCCCTATGGGGCAACGAAACGTGTGAGGGGTGTGCCAAAGTGAGGGGGTGACGGGGGTTACGGGAGGAGGGAGGAGAGGGAGGAGGAGAGGAGAGAGGAGAGAGGAGAGAGGAGGAGGAGGAGGAGGAGGAGGAGGAGGAGGAGGAGGAGGAGGAGGAGGAGGAGGAGGAGGAGGAGGAGGAGGAGGGAGGAGGAGGAGGAGGAGGAGGACGCGGGGACCGTCTCTGCAAAACGAGGACCCAACACCACAGGATGATTGGGAAATAACAAGAAACACGAAAACATCGCCCAAAGAGCCAGCGCAATCGTTCCCAGAGTATTTGTTCAACTGCCCTCCAACCTTCCTCCTGCAGCAGGACCTGCCCGACTGCAAGTCTGGCCCTCGCGCCCGCCACTGGCGAGGGCCGGCGAGTCGGGCCCTCCAGGACGAGGGGGGGACTGGAGCCCACGTCCCAAAAACCGCACGGTCTTCCCCCCCCCCCCCCCCCCCCCCCCCCCCCCGAGCCTCCGCCGACTCACCACGCGGTGCGGTCACCGCACCGTGCAGCAGGGGCCGTCGAGCCGAGCCTCCCGCGCGAGCGGCGCCCTCCGCCCCCAAAGGGATGGTCCGTGGCATGCGGGCCCGCGGGGCCCTCTCCACGGCGGCCTCTGTGAGCGGCGGGTAGGTGTGTCCAGGCCGCGGGTAGGTGTGTGTCCAGGCCTCCCGCATGGGTCAGGGGCAACGTCGGGGGGCTGAAGGGGGATTTCGTCGGTTCCCAGAAAGCTTTTCCAAACTCGGCGTGCCTTTCAGCGGCTGCGCCTCGTCGAGAGGGTCCCAAGGGTGCCCAGATCGTCCCGAACGGCTGCCGGAGACCCGAGTTATGACCCGAGCACCTCGGGGGCAACTGTAGGGGGGGTGGTCAGCTCAGTTGCGCTGGGCGACCCGTCCTGCGCGACCTGGCGCCGACCACGACGAGACCCATACGCCCGACGTCATGATATTTTCATGACGTCGATACCCAGAATTGCATGACGTCGACCCCCAGTGACCGGCTTCTCATTCCGAGCCGTTCTTCGACCGTTCCGCGGCCCGGCAAATGCCCCCGAAGGCCGAGAACAGCGAAAAACCGGGCGCCGTAGGAGGGCCTCCAGGGGCAGAAAAAGCGGCGATGGGGTCTGGGGCGCGGGAGAGGAGGAGGAGGAGGAGGAGGAGGAGGAGGAGGAGGAGGAGGAGGAGGAGGAGGAGGAGGAGGAGGAGGAGGAGGAGAGGAGGAAGGAGGAGGAGGAGGAGGAGGAGACGGAGGAGAGGAGGGAAGGAGGAGGAGGAGGAGGAGGAGGAGGAGGAGGAGGAGGAGGAGGAGGAGGAGGAGAGGAGGAGGAGGAGGAGGAAGGAGGAGGAGGAGGAGGAGGAGGAGGAAAAGGAGGAGGAGGAGAAAGGAGGAGAAGGAGGAGGAGGAGGAGGAGGAGCAGGAGGAAGAGGAGGAGGAGAAGGAGGAGGACGAGGAGGAGGAGGACGAGAAGGAGGAGGATGAGGATGAGGAGGAGGCGGAGGCGAAGGAGGAGGACGAGGAGGATAATCCGTAGCCATTTTGGGTCAAGACTTTGTTCGATACTGCACTTTGCACTGTCTGCATTGTCTTCGTACGGCTGCCCCCACCGTCGTTTGGTGAGTGGGCGATTCGCGCGCCAGCCAGGCCTCGCCAGCGTGGTGGCTTCACCGTGCGTCACGGCAACACGGTGACTCACGTTGGCGACGTCCTAGCTGCGGCGCAACTGATGAAGGAGCTCAATGATGACGTGGATGCCACCCGAGGCATGCAGTGCCTCCACAGCTTCCAAGGTCTCCTTCAGGAGGCCCGACAATTTCTACGGCTCGGACGCAAGGCATCAACGGAAAATGTACGCGTTGGCCTTGTGATGCGCGGCCACAAGACCTTGGCAAGAGAGTTTGACAGCTGGCGAGCGGGTCGCCGTGCAGTGGCTCACCCAGCTGATGAATCTCTCCCACAACGTATTATTGACGGACTTCGAGCTCCTGTTGCTGAAGCTTCGACCAGTGAGGCTTCAGCCACATCGGGATGCGAGGCAACGGTTGCAGGTCTTGGCAAGCATCGACATAGAAATCCGCCGACCCCTTGGGGTTCATCGGCGTGTGAAATGTTCCCCCTCCCCAAACCCCTCCCCCGGGAGCCCGGTCCGGTCCATTTGGAGGGGGGGGTGGGGGGGGGTCCGGCCGGACGGCCCCGGGCGGCCCGGACCCCCCCGGAGGTCTCATCCTCTCCCGAAAATCGTGGAAAAAAAACGTGGCAATCGTGTAGGGATGCGTCTGGTGGCTTCGAAATGGGTTTGGGACGCCCCACGAGCGCTCCAAGACGTCCAAGTTGGCCCGAAGACGGGCCACGAGGCGTCCTCGACGGCAGAAGAGGTCCCCACGAGCCCCCCCGAGGGCCCCCGAGATGCGTTCCACAAGGGTCCCTAGACGCAAAAATTGGGCCATTCCCTTCGTGAAATGTACATGTTTTAGAAATTCAGCTTTGGATCTTTCCGATGCTCCCCGACGGCCCAAGAGGCTCCCAGACGGCCCCAGAAGCCTCGCAGAGGGTCCCCCACAGACCCCTAGAGGGCCCAAGATGGGCCAACAGGCGTCCAAGACGGCCCAAGAGGGCTCCGGAAACGGCCCCAAGAGCGTTCCAGCAACGCTCCGAGTTGCCTCCACGAAGCTCCACATGGTCCCAGACGGTCCAAGAGCGATCAGAAACATCGACGACGACCTCCCGACGGCTCACGAGGCCTCCCCAGACGCCCCCACAGGCATCCAAGATTCCCCCCAAGAGGCCCTCTAGACGCAACAAGTCGCTCGTTTCCTTCGTAAAACGTGTATATGTTCACACGTGCGCCTTTGGGGGTGTCCCCCGCTCCTGCACGGCGCCAGAGCCACCCAAACCCGCTCCCAGACGGCCCTAGACGCCTCCAAGAGGGTCCGTACATAGCCCTCGAGGGCCCCAAGACGGGCCAACTGACGTCCAATACGGCCCAGAAGGGCTCCGAAAACGGCCCCGAGAGCGCTCCAGGAGCGGTCCGAGCGGCCTCGAAGAGAGCTCCACATGGTCCTCGACGGTCCAAGAGCGACCCAAACGCTGACGACGGCCTCCAGACGGCTGAAGAGGCCCCCAAGACGCCCCAAGAGGCATCCACGATGCGCCCTAAGAGGGCCTCTAGACGCAAAAAATCCTTCGTTTCCTTCGTCAAACGTATATTGTTTCACACGTGCGCCTTTTGGGGTGCCCCCCGCTCCTGGACGGCCCCAGAGCCACCCAAACCCGCTCCCAGACGGCCCAAGACGCTTCCAAGAGGGTTCCCACAGAGCCCTCGAGGGCCCCAAG